AAAGGAAGATCTACTAGATATTAATTAAATTATAAATATATCAATTCATGTGATATGTGAATTTTCATTTTTTCTGAAAAGGTGGTGTCTATTTACTTGTGACCACGCTGTGTATATTACTCATGACCATAACTGAAAAAGTTTACAAACTGCTATCTCTGTACATTATTTGTTCTTAACATCAACTATGTGGAAAAAGGTTATTAAAAGTTTGAAACAACTGCCGTAGCATTTGAAGTTGTTTAACAAATGTTCTTTGATGTACTGAATCATATATAACAATTTGATCAAGTAATATCTCTTACTATACCATGATAAAACATCAGAACATTAACTTTCAACAAAATCAAAAAACCTGTAAAAGTTCTGCCACGTAACAGAGCCACTTAGTAAAACCACCAATGAATCCTTCAAACTACAGTTCAAATTGAAAACAAAATAGAATAATATAGAAAAATATTTTTTAAAATTATATTTTACAAAAGGATGAGATTTTTCAGGTGAAACTTAATTGTTTCTTATAAATATTAGTTCTAATAATTTTGAGAAACGTTTGAGTCACCCTGAGATTTGGAGGCACAGAACATTACCTGGAGGCATAGCAGCTTCAGCTGCTGCATTGAAATGGCTAACATGGTCCTTTACTATTCCACTGGGGGGAGGTTCAGGGGCAGGGATACTGGGAGGAGGAGGAATAGATTGAGATGAACTCCTGTAGATCATAAAAATTAATACATTGAAAAATTACATGTAGGTGAAGGATATTATTTTAGCGAAGAAAATATGTTTTATTTAATGAAGTAATAATCATAATGATTGAAACTTTATCAAAGTTATCACACAGAAATGTCAGGATAACAGAGACATTATTTCCTGTTTTAAAGATAAAAAATTAACTATATACTCCATAGATTTAAATAAAAATTATTGTGCTATTTAAAACATAACTACCAGAGAAAAACAAAGTCAATACCTACAGATTACAATGGCATAACACAAAATGAACTCATATTAGAGGTGAAACTGTTAAAAATGGAGAAAAAAAACTTACTCTGGTTTCCATTTTCCATCCATGAAGAATTTTATATCATCCACCACGTCCTGAGCCTAAGCAGAAGTAACCAACTCATTAAAATAATATAAAGTCTGAGTAGAAGTAACCAACTCATTAAAAGATATAAAGTCTGAGTAGAAATTTATATCTTTTAATGAGTTGGTTAGTCTGAGTAGAAGTAACCAACTTATTAAAAGATATAGAGTCTGAGTAGAAATAACCAACTCATTAAAAGATATAAAGTCTGAGTAGAAGTAACCAACTAATTAAAAGATATAAAGCCTGAGTACAAGTAACCAACTCATTAAAACATATAAAGTCTGAGTAGAAGTAACCAACTCATTAAAAGATATAAAGTCTGAGTGGAAGTAACCAACTCATTAAAAGATATAAAGTCTGAGTAGAAATAACCAACTCATTAAAAGATATAAAGTCTGAGTAGAAGTAACCAACTCATTAAAAGATATAAAGTCTGAGTAGGAATTAATGATTCATTAAAAGATATAACGTCTGTTTAGAAGTAAACAATTCGTTAGAGGATTTAAGTGGTTTCATAGAAATTTCTTTCTCATGAAATAAATCAACAAGAACCTCAGATTTGCCTTCCTTTAAAATAACTGAAAACTTGTTTATATTTCTCTTCCTTCAAACTAAATTAGAAGTTTTTAAATTATCTTTCTTTATACTAAGCGAAAATTTGTAATCTCATGTATGACATATCTCAAATCAAATTTTATCACATTAATCTAGCTATTCTGTTAAATAGTGTTAACATTTTCATGTTTCTTTGTTTACCAAATTCTTCTTCCTTAACATGAAATATGATAACAGAAATACTTAGTAAAAACCAAATCTTACTGAAATCTGAGGACACTGGAAAATGTGCATTTCTCCCGAGAGATTAGAATTCTTTTTGAAATTTTCTCGAACAATGAAAACTAGAACATTGTTATACAGGTCTCTTGGATTATTGCTGATAAAACATGTTGGGTCACTGATCAGATTTATTGGAAACTTTTCTACCACATCCTGGATAAAGATACACAAAAAATTACAAACAGTTTTTACCCAATGTCTTACATTCAAGTGATTAATTTCTCATATTTAATGAAAAATTACCTGAATAATTGATACAAATTTTTTTTATCTTACTCTACTAAAACACAAAATTTGGCCTAAGTACAGTATAAAGTAATCGATAGCAGAAGTTTCAAAGTTCTTAAAAAAATAAAAGTTGAAATTAAAATCATAAATGTGAGTTAAATCTAAGCTATTTTATACAGAAGGACATGAAAATTACTTTACTAATTCTAATTTTACCCTGTTCTCATAGTCCATTATAATAATCCATCTTTGATCCAGTTTTAAATACATTTTTTGAGTCCATATTCCATTAGATTTTTCCATTTGAAGCAATCTTCGAAGTCCATCTTTAGGTGATTCTAATCCTATGAAACAGGAGAGAATATAAAATCACTGGAAGCGACGACTTATATGTACATGTAAAGAGATGTGAAACAATGATGTTAGGTGCAGGTGAATTTAACACGTGTAGAGAGATTCAGATGTTAAGGTACAGCAAAATTAATATGTAGTGAAAACCAGGTAGAGTTAAAATTATAATTTATGCACGTACAGAGAGTTAGCAAAAATTATTGTTATATTCTACATGTGTACAAAGGATCGGGTCTTGATGGGGACACTGCTGTATCTCTGGTATTAGTGCTACGTTTGTATTGCAGTTATACTGTATACTGCTGTTAATCTTCAAGACTTTTGTGTTTTCTTTTCCAATTTATTCAGTAAAGGTGACTTTCATACACTGCTACTCTTTTTCTCTACTCAAAGTATAAGTTATCCTAACATATGTTGTACAGAAGTAAAAACAGATAATATTCAACAAAAAATTCATTTTAAATTTTATTTAAAAATAATCACATATCATCAATAAAATACCGAACTTTTCTAAGCACCACAACAATATAATAAATAAGTTATACCGACAGTGACTATTTTTAGTTTCAAATTTATCATGTACCGTCATAAATACTAAGCCACTTACACTCTTACAAACATTAAAGACCAAACAGTTAGGTACAGGTACTCTTACAGTCACTAAACATTAAATAATTAGTTAGAGATACTCTTAGAGTCACTATAACAAATAATGAGCTAGATATACTCTTCAAGAAACTACACACCAAATACTTGGCTAGAGATATTCTTACAGTCACAACACACTAAATAATTAGCTATAGATAGTCTTACAGTCACTACACACCACATACTTGGCTAGAGATATTCTTACAGTCACTACATGCTAAATAATTAGCTATAGATTGTCTTACAGTCACTACACACCAAATACTCAGCTATAGATATTCTTACAGTAACAACACACCAAATACTCAGCTATAGATATTCTTACAGTCACTACACACCAAATACTTGGCTAGAGATATTCTTACAGTCACTACACACTAAATACTTGGCTAAAGATATTCTTACAGTCACTACACACCAAATACTCAGCTATAGAGATTCTTACAGTCACTACACACTAAATACTTGGCTAAAGATATTCTTACAGTCACTACACACCAAATACTCGGCTAGAGATATTCTTACAGTCACTACACACTAAATAATTAGCTATAGATAGTCTTACAGTCAGTACACACCAAATACTTAGAGATACTCTTAGAGTCACTACACACCAAATACTTAGAGATACTCGTACAGTCACTACACACCAAATACTTAGTTAGAGATACTCTTAGAGTCAGTACACATCAAATACTTAGAGATACTTGTACAGTCACTAAACATTAAATAATTAGCTATAGATACTCTTACAGTCACTATAACAAATAATCAGCTAGATATACTCTTCAAGAAACTACACACCAAATACTTGGCTATAGATATTCTTACAGTCACTACACACCAAATACTTTGCTAGAGATATTCTTACAGTCACTACACACTAAATAATTAGCTATAGATACTCTTACAGTCACTATAACAAATAATCAGCTAGATATACTCATCAAGAAACTACACACCAAATACTTGGCTATAGATATTCTTACAGTCACTACACACCAAATACTTGGCTAGAGATATTCTTACAGTCACTACACACCAATTACTCAGCTACAGATACTCTTACAGTCACTACACACCAAATACTTAGTTACAGATACTACAGTCACAACACACCAAATACTTGGCTATAGATATTCTTACAGTCACTACACACCAAATACTTGGCTAGAGATACTCTTACAGTCACTACCCACCAAATACTCAGCTATAGATAGTCTTATAGTCACTACACACCAAATACTCAGCTACAGATACTTTTACAGTCACTACACAACAAGTACTCGGCTAGAGATACTCTTACAGTCACTACACACCAAATACTCAGCTATAGATAGTCTTATAGTCACTACACACCAAATACTCAGCTAGAGATACTTTTACAGTCACTACACAACAAGTACTTGGCTAGAGATACTCTTACGGTCACTACCCACCAAATACAGTTATTAAGTACCAAATATTGAGGTAGAGCCACTCTTACAGTGATCAAAATCAATTCTATTTAACTGACAACATGTTTAACTTACCTAATTCTCGGCCCACTGAAAAAGTGGCTAAATGTTCCAATAGATAAAGAGGTCCATCAGCCATGTACTGATCTGAAAAAAAAAAAATCAACTGATAAAGAGGTCCATCAGCCATGTACTGATCTGAAAAAAAAAAATCAACTGATAGAGGTCCATCACCTATGTACTGATCTGAAATGAAAATCAACTTATAAAGATGTTCATTAGCCATGTACTGATCTGAAAAAAAATATCAACTTATAAAGATGTCCATCAGCCATGTACTGATCTGAAATAAAAATCAACTTATAAAGATGTTCATTAGCTATGTACTGATCTGAAACACAACTTCACAACCATTGCATATTGTAATCTGGCTTTTCAATCTTTACAATATATCTGCACTATTTTGTCATTGTAACAAAATTGATACTTTTACTGCATATGGTTGCTAGGTTTTAATTACTTTTGTGTTTGTGGAATGTCTTTTGCAAGTTACACTTGTGTTCACTCTGGCTTTGTAAAAGTGAACACATGGGAGTCTGGTTGTTTTTAAAGACAATATTGTAAGTAGCAGAAGTCAATGTTTACATCTTACTAATGGACTAAATACACAATGATGTAAGTAGCAGAAGTCAATGTTTACATCTTATAAATAGATGTCAACACACAATGTTGTGAGTAGTAAAAGTCAATGTTTACATCTTATAAATAGATGTCAACACACAATATTGTGAGTAGTAAAAGCAAATTTTTACATTTTACTAATAGACTAAACACACAATGTTGTGAGTAGTAGAAGTCAATGTTTACATCTTACTAATATATATAAACACACAATGTTGTAAGTACCAGAAGTCAATGTTTACATGTTACTAATAGACTAAACACACAATGTTGTAAGAACCAGAAGTCAATGCTTACATCTTACTAATATATGTAAACATACAATGTTGCAAGTACCAGAAGTCAATGTTTACATGTTACTAATAGACTAAACACACAATGTTGTATATACCAGAAGTCAATGTTTACATGTTACTAATAGACTAAACACACAATGTTTTGAATAGTAGAATTCAATGTTTACATGTTACTAATATATGTAAACACACAATGTTTTGAGTAGTAGAATTCAATGTTTACATGTTACTAATATATGTAAACACAAAATGTTTTGAGTAGTAGAAGTCAATGTTTACATGTTACTAATATATGTAAACACACAATGTTGTGAGTAGTAGAAGTCAATGTTTACATCTTACTAATAGATGTAAACACACAATGTTGTAAGTTTCAGAAGTCAATGTTTACATCTTACTAATAGACTAAACATACAATGTTTTGAGTAGTAGAATCCAATGTTTACATCTTATAAATGGACCTAAAAACATAATGTTGTGGCTAGCAATACTTGTTCAGCAATGCTCAAATTGAAGAGGGCAATGTTGTTCCCATGGTTAAAATATATATCAATTTTGCCACCCTTGTTAATAAAATCGTGCACATGGGGAAAACTTTAAAGTGTGCATCTTTACTGAACACGTTAACTTAAAGGTAGGAACTTGTGTACAGCTACAGTCGTACTGATTGTCTGTGTACTAATTTGTATTTCCAACCATCGGTAAAATTGGATTTCAGTAAAGTTGTTAAATCTTAATTCTGATCAAATTAGTGATTGATGAATATACTGTAAATAGTATTTTTATAGGAAGTTAATTACATTAATGGAAAAAATAATTTCTGGCATTAAGAAAAGGTAGTAGGAGAAAAATGTAAATAATGGGCAGTAAGAGAGATGTAACAAAAAACACGTATAAAGTCTTTGCAGGGACTTAGCAGCAACTATTAACTTAAATAATTCTACTTTAATTATTTGAAGGCTTATTTTAATGATAAATAATTAAAACAGAACTTAAGAGATATGATATCAAATTAAACAGTACAGAAAAGCAATGAATTAAATGCTTAACATTTATTACATGCCTTGTAAAAAATATATATGTATGCATTTCTACTTTTCTCAGATATGATGTTGTAAACATAAAACACATCAAAGATTTGAAATACCTTCTATCTGAGTTGCTACTGAGTAATAAAGTATGTAAACAGTGATAAGGAGTTTGAATAACATGAGAACTTTGGTCACTCAACACGATAACATTCATATTTCTACTGTTTATTGTTGTGAAAGGCCACAAATGCAGTTTAAATGCTACATGTCACTGAAGTACACACTCATCCAGTACGATTAACAGAATTAAGATACAGCCTTTTAAAAAGAAGTAAAAAACTCAATAATGAACTAGAAAGGTAGAGATGCTTGTGCTGTTAAAACTAAACGCTGTTTTCAAAATTACTTTAAAATGTGTGTTCTACTAATACAAACAAACCCAGAATTATTAGATATAGTTTTTCAGTAAGTTATACAATGCAATGTATATTTCGACAAAATTTATAGTCTATACTATCCAGTACGAATAAGAAATACTTCAGTTTCACTGTACATATGATAAAACTAAAACGTTGCAACGTAAAAACTCATGGTAGTGGTTCATAATAGGGACTGTCCATTCGTTCTTCTTTATTATTATTATTTAATATTGTTCTGCTAGCCTACAGCAAAAATGGCTGTGAATAATGTAATAAAACCTGGGCAATATTACTAAATGCATCATTGTACATTGTGCAGGGTAGCTTTTAAGTTTATTTTAATACCTAGCAAATAACAGTGGCTGTATAACTGTTCACATCCAATCATTTTAATGTAGTCTGTGGTGTAAGTGAAGCCTCGTAATATATTACATGCATATGTACATAGCTGCGTGAAGGCCATGGATGAAATTTAATATTTATGTGCCATAGAGATTATTAACTTATTGTTGCTACTGTATTGATGTTGCTCTTTTGGACAGGTTGCTGCTCATAGGATCACAATTTTTTTACCACTGCATGATTGATTTCGGTCATGTTGCACAAACGTCTAAAACGTTATAAAAACATCTAGGCTGTCTTCTAAAACAGAAATCATTAAGCCATAGTTTAAAAGATAGCATTAAGCACAGTTTCAAGCATCGGATCAGCAATTATGGTGATGGCTGATGGTAAGTTTGAATTATAACCAACACTGTGTGATTGTGAATTCAGGAGATAGAGTAGCCATCCTTGAAGCTGACTATAAGGAGTGCCAAGAATTGTGTAAGCAGGAGATGGCAATTCTGGGTGAATGTGAGGCAGAAATTTTGTATTTATATATTTAATTTAGAAAATATTTAGTTTCAGATAAAGCATGCAACAGCGACGGCCCACCAGGGTTTAGGGTCATCACAGTGGAAAAGGGCCATAGAAGTGTTACAGCCGAAGCTCCTTCAGAAATGGAGAGGGGAAAGGTATGTTAATTAACACATTTTCACCCTTGTAGAGTGTGTAGAATGTCACACTAAATGGAAATTGACCAGCTTCAGCAAAAACCATGACTGGCCTTACTATTACCATCGGATGAAGATATAACAACTATAAGAAATATTAGAAATGCTCATTTGTTTACATATCCTATTATATTATGACACATTGTCTTATGTTTGCATTGAATATACATGCATGCACCAATACAATTTGAAAATTCATATGGCTATCGATATATATATATATATATATATATATATG